GCTAAGCCACTAAGTTGAAAGGTTGGCTTCAAACCTATGCTCCTTCTGTGTCAGCCTCTTAGAGCGCTGAAATTGCTCATGTGCCACTAGGCCCAGCTAGGATGTTCCTTAATGTGGTATATCATTTAATACAAGCTATACAGATATATGAGAATTGACAAGATTGGCTTACAATGGCCACCCACAGAGTCAGGTATGGAAGAGTGCAAAAGGCCTGTCTGTGCACTGAGGATCCGAAGGATCCCGTTGAAGGCCTAGAGCTCATTATAGTGTCTCATGTGAGGGCTGAAGGGTTTATGCCAGAAGGCTGCAGATGGTACTGGAGGCTGAAGAATCTGCTCTGGAACCCAGGAGACTATGTCCAAGGTGAAAGCAAAGACTGGAGCTCCTCTGAAGGAAGAGAAGCAATTCTTCCTTCTTCCTTTCCCTTTTATACCATTCTGGGGATAATCCTCCCTAAGGTGGATCTCCCACATTCAGAGTTATGCTGAGCCAATTTAGGTGGGTGTTTCTTACTCAAGTTGACGCAATCAGTCAACCATCACACGTGGCTTCATGGGGAGTTCACTCTCACAGGCCCTCAGCCTCTGTTATCTCCTTTAAGGCTCAAGACAAGCCTAGGAACAGAGGAAATTATCTGGAATCTGCAGACAAGACAATGGAGGCTATGAGATGACAATTGCTTTGACAAGTTTATAAAACTGCATTTGGGGGAACTGAGGTTCAAGTCCAAATCACTGGGGACTTAAGCATCAAAGCAAAGCTCCAGTCCCTACAAATTGCACTCAAAGCCAGGCAGTGATGAGACCAACCACACTCCTTATCATCTATCAACATCAGGATTATCCTTTTAAAAAAGTTAGTGTGAATTGAATATTCAAAAGGGAATCTGTATGAGTTATAGTTGTTCTTGGTTCTGAAAAATCCCCAGATAGAAGAGCTTTTGTAAAAGAGTTGTGTTACTTTAGCCAAGTCACAATAACTCAGCTATGGTTTTATTATTTGTACAATTATGGTAGTAATACCCCTTCACTGGAGCCTCAGAGGATTAAACAAAAGAGTAGATATAAAATGCTTGATAATGTTGTAGGTGCTTAACATTTGTTATTTCTTGAAATTAGTATTATTTAATAAATGATCATTTTAAAATAACATCTATTGAACATGTTCTTTATGTTTGGTGCTGAAATGACCATTCATTTAATCTCCCCTCCCCCAAAATCTTGGTGGTAGGTACACATTTTACAGAAGAAGAAACTGAGACTCCAGGAGGCTAAATGATTTGCCAAAAATTTTACAGTGAGTGCTAAGTCTGAGATTTATATCCCAGTCTGCTGAATTTCAAAGTCATACCTATGACTACCTTGCTGTCTTAGCCTCCTGAAAATGAAGAGGAATAGACATTTCATGTGCAAGGGGCTGAATTAGGTGGTTTGCCTCTTGCTCTCTTAATCCCCACTCAAATTCCTTCTGGAAAAGTGGAAGGTGTTTGTGTACACTTCCTACTCTCTCAAGGACATTGTGCTCAGAAAGCTTCATTGATTTTTTTTTTTTTTTTTACTATATAGTGGCAATTTTGCCAGTGCCTCATAACCCTCAAAAACAAGCCTCAAGGGGTCACCAAAGTAACTGGCAGCTTTAGGAATAAAGCTCCTCCACACCTGATTTCTCCCTGAAGGCAGAGAGGACCCTACCCCCAGCCAAGCGTGGCCAGAGGATGGAAACTGCAGGATTGTGCTTTCACAGGCTTTCCTGTTGTGATTTACTTGCTGGATGCTGGTTAGTTTGCACTCTTCTTGAAAGAGATTTGAGATGGAATTTTGCATCAGAAATACCTACCAAAATATATAGATTCAAAAGAAATGATTACAGAGCCTATGGAATAAAGGGAATCAATACCAAGAGTGTCTTGGGTGTCTTCAGGGACAAGACCTCCCTACCCTGTGACCAACTAGAACAGATATTGTGACAGGGCTCTTACTGGCTAAAAGTAAGGGCTAGTTCTTTGGGGCTCACACTGAGGCTCCCCATTTATTAATTTGCAACACTATAGAAAGTGAATGATCCTGGAGTGGGGAGGAGAATAGGCTCCCTCCTTGGTGCTATCTCTTGTTATTGGGAAGCAGAACACCATATTCAGTTTTGGACCAATCACCTTCTCAAGAACAAAGACAACTGAACATGTTGTGTGCTTCTATGAGGATGGATGGATCTGTAAATTGAAGGTGGTAGATAGGGTCAGTGCAGAGGAGCTGCAAACAAGCCTGGATTCTATCTGCAGCTCAAGGAGGGGTGGGTGGGCAGCAGTCAGGGTGAGGTGGCTGGGGCTCCACAGATCCGCCTGCAAGTATTTTGTGCATTCTGATGTTATAGAGGGTTCAAAAGCAAACATCACAATCCCTGTTGTGAAGGAGTCTACAGTTACTGAGGGAGATAGGCACATGAATGGATATTCTCACTATCATATGTTATATGATTTATTCACACTTTGTACTGCAAGCCAGTGAGCATCTACTTTATGCCAGGGACCATGCAGCATGATAGGGATTCGGAGTCATCCCAAAGCTTGGGTCTACTGCTGCAGTCTAATGTTGCCCATGCTGTGGGGGCACAGAGTACACTTACTCAGACTGAAGAAGTACTGCATGGAGGAGGTGACAAGAGGGAAGGTGAAAGAAAAGGAAACTCCATGTAGAAGGAACAGCATGATCAAATGCACACAGGCATGAATAATTTGTACCTAGGATGCTACACACCTGGCTGGCTGTGGACAACTGCTTGTGGCCCAGTGACTTTCAGATACACCTGACAAGAAGCCTTCCTTTGCTTCAGTGGTTTGTACTAAGGGTGAAACTTGGGGCCATGCTTTCATCCTGCAGGAGGTGATGGCCTAGTGACCAGGCCTCAACTCCTGGGGGCTGTGATCAGGTATATTCTCCTTTCATGTGCAGTCACACTCATCCAAACATCCTTCCTTTGTAAGTTCCCTAGGGATGAACCTCACAACCATGATGTGCAAACTCTGCTCATGCATACTCTGAAAAACCCCCAAAAGTGCAGCCATAAGACAAAGGGGCTCAGACTTAAACCCAGATTATATATTTATCTGGAACATGGCAGGGGTGCAGCACAGGGAGGCATTCCCCTCTTCCTTGTCATGGGATGACATTGATCAGGTACCTGCTATGTACCCAGAATCCACTGTCACACTCTATCCTCATTCCAACTCTGTGAGGTCAGTGCTATGGTCCTTATTTTACTGATATGGTGCCTGAGGCTTGGAGGCCTTCAGTAACCTGCCCACGAACTTCCTGCCCTCCTAGGGTCAAACCAAGATCGCTGTGGTCTGTGCTTCTCCAAGGCTTCCTGGGAGCAAGTTCATCTTTGGCATTCAGACTTCAGTACAGATGTGGACTCTGCATCTGAAGTGTCCCCTGTCTCTCACCTTCTGCTGCACTTACTCTCTTATAATAGGAGAACACAGGCCTATTCACTACCTAGCTCTTTCTCCTGGTTCCTCACCTGTTTGCTGCTATGTCCCTTGGTACTCCAAGGAAAACCTGGCACACGGAATCCCCAAATAAGTGGTTGTGCTGGCTGTTCCCTAAGCTCAGCCTTCTCCACGGGACTGGGATCACCATGATGGTTGCCAGTGGCCCGCTGGGAGTATGCACAGGCTCCTGGTGGCTTCAGACTGACACAGAGTCCCACAAATGCAAGACTTACTGAGTTTCTCATGGGTGAGAACAGGCAATTTTATACATTTTCAATTCTAATTTGGCCAAAGGTTGCTGATGGCAATGTTGTATGTGACAAACACCTGGGGTCTGTAAATGGATAGTACTCATAACTACATTCCTTGATGGCTCCATTCACTGTTTCACACTCAAGTCTGGCTGAGGGCAGTTGCACAGCCTCTCAGAACCACATCCTTGCCAAGCATGCAGTGCCCATGTTGTCAATAAGCATGCATTACCAGGCTCTGTGCATCACCTTGGATGTCTCTGACTCTCAGTCATTGCTGCTTTTATGTATCAAATCCATTCCTGTGCGCACACACTCTTAGTGTTTATTTTTGTTCATTGCACTGTTCTTGTATGGTGCCATTTTCATTGTGCCTTTGTTTCTCTCCTATGGTTTATTGTCTTCCAATTAATTTTCCACAGAAAACTGATGATAAGATCATCAGCCCTACCTCAGCAAGTCAAAGCCCTGACTGTTTGAGTATCCTTGCACCCTGCTTTGTGATCTCATCTCATCCTCAAATGACTATGCTTGCTTCTGTTTTAAAATATGACATATGTGTTTCTGAAAATCATCAAGTGAGGCAAAGTGGAGGGGATAGGGAGAGAAGCACAGCACTCAAAAATGTCACCATTGATGTATAAAAAGGGGAAAAGACAGACAGCAGTTTTATGCAAGCACTGCAGTATGGCACCTGACCTTGAGCAGACTTGATATTTGCTGATGGAAATGGACACATCCACACCTGCAGTCACAACTTTCTACCTGTTCCCGAGAACCTCCTTACCCTCCACAACAACACAGCAGCTGCAACCCTGCCAGCTCCACTTCCACCAGCAAATAAAGGTCAAGCACCATATTCATTGTAGCACTTGTGTAAAACTGTGCTAACATTTTCTTTTTCTCCCTTTTTGATTCATCACTGGTGGTGCTTTTGAGGGTTGTACCTCGTTCTATTTCTTGCATAGTACATGGTGAACTAAGAAACTGGTAAATATTTGAGATGTGCACTTTTGTGTGTTGTATATTCCTATGGGGCTCAGTTCAGCTGGGTGTAGCTTTCTGTATTTGCATAGTCTATCTCAGGGTCAAAATCTTATATCAGTAAATACAAAATTTCCATAATCCTCAAACTGTTCCTTAATATATTTGTTGAGACAAATAATTTATTGGAACCCATTCACATTTTCGAAACAGGTGTTCTGGTAGGACTGACCACATCTCATTTACTTTTCATTATCTCCTTGTTTATTCAGACTGGACCAAGAGGATTGAGTACCAGCCTGGTTCGGGGAGTCTGCCCTTATTCCCCAGCATCCACCTGGAGACGTGCGATGGAGCTGTGTCCTCTCTCCAGGTCACCGCAGAGCTGCAGACCAACTACATTGGGAAGGGCTGTGACCGGGAGACATACTCCGAGAGATCCCTTCAGAAATTATGTGGTAGGTTTTCCTGGTTAGGATTTGTTGAATGAATTGCTGTTAAATGATATATACCAAAAAGGATCTCTTATTATATTAGGAAATAATCACCCCTCCCCACTTTCATCAGTGTATGCCACTCTTGGGTAGATGTTTACTTATAGCAAAGAATGAGACAGCCTAGCTTTTGGCATCAGGGCTGATTCAGACTATTTGTTAGCTGTGTGGCCTTGGTCAAGTAGAAAGGTGAAATCTCTGCTCTTCATTAGTAAAAGAGGAATCAAAGAGCACAGCATGTTTAAAAACACCTAGCTCAGAGCCAAAAGGCAAGCACACTCCCTTTTGCTCTGCTATAGAGAACCACCTGGCCAGGGCCAGTATGAAGAGCACTGTCAGGCACTTGGGGAAGGGGTTGTTCTCCACTCCACCTGGCCAGGTACCTAATTTCCAAGGCTCACTGAAAAAAAAAATGTAGAACTCTTGTTCAAAAATTATTAAAAATTTGGAAAGAGCAAAGCATTAAACCAAATGCCTACAGCTAAGCTTGGGACCCTGTGCAACTGCTTAGGTCACATGCCAGTGAAGGAAGGTCTGGCTATCCACAGCAGCAAGGGGCTTGGGTGGGGGTGGGAGTGGGAGAGTAAGATACTCATGTGTGCTTGGGGGGCTTTTTGCAGGTCAGGAATTAGGAAACCAAGCTAATGGAGGATGCTATGAAAGATGAGTGTGAGGAAAGCCTAGTTTTATTTAAAGCCTATTGTGAGTTTCTTTATGTGTGGTTTTTTGTTTTTGTTTTGTTTTTTGTTTTTGTGTTTTTGGTATCAGGGATTGAATTCAGGATCTTGTGCTTGCTAGGCAGGTGGCAGCACCACTGAGCTAAACCCCAAGCCCTGTGTGTGTTTTTTAATTGAGTTAAAAAAAAAAAACACTGCCCCTTCACTGTGGGCAGGATGTTATTCATTCCATTTTAGAGATGGAAACTTTAGAGTCCGGAGTATGAAATAACTTGTTTAAGTTTACACAGACAGAAAATGACAGCCAGGACTTGCAGTTAAGTCTTTAGCTCAGCAACTGCATGGGCCAGCCAGGTCCCGGGAGCTAGAATACAACTCTCCAGGGAATCTGTAGAAGGAGAGGATGTGCATCCTATGAGGTGGGGATGGCCCCACAGGCTGGGTGAGCCAGACTGCTGACGGGCCCCCTTCATCTCACACCTGTGCACAGCTCATTGCTTCCTTATTCTCTTCAAGAATATGCAAGGATTCATATTTAACTCCCAAACCATGCCATGGGAGCTTAGTATAGGGATTACTCCTATGTTGGAACTGTATCTGGAGGTAACTGCACCTCCTCAAGAAGAAAGGGAAACTCCACAATGCATAATGTAGCCTGCTGTCCCTGGAAAGATCCCCACCCCTATTATCTTTGGGGTAGTTTTCTCCCTCACTCATACCCTTTCACTGACACTGCTCTTTCACAAATAACCATGTAAAAGCTTTAGAACCAAAATAAATCGATTGGGTGTCATCACATCCTATTCACCATGTCACCAGGCTGACAGGGAAGGCCTGTGGGCATACAGACCCTTCAGGAACCAGGTAGCTGCCTGGAGAAAACACCACAACTCCAATATTACAAAAAAACACCTCATAAAAATCGATATAAGGTAACTGCAATATTCAGAAAACTGCCTCCAGTCCTCTCCTTCCCTCTGCATGCACAGATGCTATCTAAGACGATCTCTTACTTTGAATGAATATCCCATTTCATTTCCCATGTAGTACCTGGATTATGAGTCAACCCAACCCCATGCCACTGTGGGTTAGAGTCATTTCCTAAACTCCTCCAGGTTAGAAGGAGATGATGGAATCAGCTTGTTAAAGATCAGATAGGCCCAAGGCCACTGGCTTGTGATGTGATTTTGAATGTTTCTGCAGAGAGATAGAAGATACAGAGGGTAAGAAGGATGTTCTAAGGGAAGATGCTTCTGAGCCAAATTGTGTGTGGTGTTTTCTCAGAGCACACTCCATCTGGGCTGCCAGCCTGGCCTTGCAGAAAAGCAGGCTAACTCAGCTTCCTTGCAAGGTGAAACTTAATCTGATGCTGGGAGCTGCCTTTTGAGTGAGAAAAATCTGGTTCCTCTCTGATGACCTTCCTAGTAGCATTGCCCACCACATTTCTGGGAACCTTGTCCCAGTAGCTCTAGTGGCCAGGCCAGTCTAGCCTCATGTCAGGAGAATGACTCTTGATTTGCACTGGTGAGAGCCCAGGGAAAAAGGGCAGAAGCAAAGAAGTGAAACCCCAGAGCCCAGGCTCTTTCCAAACTCAGAGGAAAATGCAGGCTGGATGTCTCCCAAGATGGATCTTGGGTCACAAATCACTGACTCCTGTGGGCACCGTGGGTTTTAGAGACAAGCTTCTGTGTGTATTCATGGGATGAAGGAAAAGCTTCTTGCTATGCTTCCCAACTAGAGAGCAGCCATGACACTTTAAGCCTCAGCATTCATGCATTTTTCATCCTACAAATCTGTATTGACTTTTGAGGGAAACAGGGAGACCAATTAGGAAGTTATTGCCATAGTCTAAGCAAGAGATAATGAGTTCTGAACCAGGGGAGTGGCAGTAGGGATGAATTTAAGACAGATTTAAGAGGCAAAATCAGCGAAGTTTAATGATTGATTAGCTGTCAAGAGTGAGAAAGAAGGAATCTAAGCAGATTCTAGTTAAGCATCTACCTGGATGAGGGTAAACCAAAACTAGAAATTCAGAAATGAGAGCAGATATAGGGCACAGTTATGACAATCACACCTTACACAGGTGTGAGTGCCAAAGTTTACCCTGCCTCTTAGCCCTCCTAATGATCTGTCTTCCCCCACCTCATCCATTGTTATAGCCTGGTTTGTCCTCCGCTTTGGTCTCTCTGTTGGGTTTGTTCTCATCCCCAAGCCTGTGATCATGTTTTCCACCACAAGATGATCTCTTCTGTTCTCTTCTCTTCTCTTCTCCTCCCAAATGTTCTTCCCTGCAATCACTGGTCACCTATTTCTATGTATAGCAGGGGTCTGCCCTGCAGTGTTTCTGTGGTGGCTACAGTTCTGGAGCTCTTTCTATGATGCTGTAGCTGTTCAGTAACCTGGTCACTGCCTGCTAATTCCTCCTGTGGTAGAGTCAACTCATGAAAGGCAGCAAGAGAATCAACACTGTTTAAGGGGAAAGCAAACAATAGTGGGTATCAGACCTACCATGAGAAAGGTTGAGCAGATGCAGCAGCCTTGAAATGGCTTATTTGGGTCTGCATGTCAGAAATATTGCTTCCTGAGATTAATACTTGGAAACACTTCCATTTGGCTGTAGACAAAGCCAATGGAGGGCCCTGAGCCTGTGTCTCCTTTACATGTGGACCAAATGTAACCTAAGATTGTTCTCACTGCCCTAACTTTATACAAACCCAGGCTTCTTGGAGAAGTTGGCCAACTACCTGTGACTTGTTTCAAATTCAGGGACATAAGTGAAGAACCTATCATCTCAGAACCAGGCTTTCCAGAGGGGAATTGTCACAGTGCTGCGTAGAGTATGAAAAGCATGAAGAATCCTTCAGGGATACCTCTCAGCCAAATTAAACTTGACATTAACAACTATCCAAGAAAAGGTCCACTTCAATGACCCTACATCACTGCTCATTACAGGAAATAGAAAAGTACCTTGTAATGTTTGTGCCCTTTGTAGCACCACAGTCGGGGTCTGCTTCTCCAGTGACCACAGGGCTCCTGGCAGCTGGCCACTACTTCCTGCACACAATGCCAGTGCAGCTGCTCTGTTTGTGAGCAAAGACTTCCAGGAAAATTCCTGTTGAAGGAAAAGCCACAAAGTGTGTGGGTGCCATTAAAATCAAGTGCTTCATATGTCAGAGCAGTACAAGCGACCAGACCTTAAGTTGTCTGTGGGATTTATACACTTATTAGCCAAGAGATTTTCATAGAGGACATATATATCCATTCAGTCATATAATTTTACTTCAGCAACTATTGGTTGCCTGTCCAAATGCTGAACTAATTCTTTTTTTTTTTTTTTTTTTTGGTACCGGGGATCAAACTCGGGTTGTTGCACTTGTGAAGCAGGTGATGGAACCACTGAGCTAAATCCCCAGCCCACTAATTCTTGAAATAATATAGAGATTAATAAAACTACTTAGCAGTTCAGTCTCCTGGGGAAGACAGATATATTAAAAAGTTTCGGTGCAATTTTTTTAGGAACTCTGAAAGTAAGTAGTTTTCTAGTATAACTTGCAGTTTAAAAGAACTTGTTCTAAGAATAACTATCAGAGGCTTTGATACCCTCAGAAGAGCAAAAGCCCAGGACGCTATCGTGAATGTCTCCAAGATACTGTCAAAGTTCTGGGGCTTCTAAGAGTAAGAAAATTAGCCCCTTAGTCATGGCCACTGCTTCCATGATCAGAGCTGAAGGAAAACAGGGGAACACATGCTGGAATTCAGACTAAATCACTAATTGTGTCAGCAAAGAGCTGCATACCATGATTCAGGGATGACGATTGTAATCAGAGGGCCTCTTTCTGGATATACTTATTTCTTGGAAGTCATTTAGCAATGACCATACTACATGCCCTCCTCTATTAGGAAGGAGGATTTTTCCTGCAGTGGCCTTGCCCAATCTGGTCAGCAACTGGGTAGGTATCCACAGCCCTGCCCAGAGAATCTCTCTGGTCACCTTTCATCCATAGCCCAACTTTCTTCACTTAGAAATTCAAATTTGTGGTTCCAAGACCTCAAGGGAATACCTCCTATTCAAGATTCTAGAGATGGAATGATAGTCTGATTGTAGGTCCAACAGTTTTTGAAATCATGAAAAGATATCAGCAAATCCTCCTTGCCAGTATTTCTGGAATGCAAATAGAGAAATGAGAATTGTAGCTGTTGATATTAATCACTTACACCAATAATGAGTCAGGATAAGAAAGGTTATGCTGCAGTAACAAATGCTCTCATAACCTCATTGACTTAAAATAACAAAGGTTTATCATTCCTACTACATGTCCTTCAATTGTCTATAGCTGTACTCCATGTTGGCTCCCTACCGGGACCCAGGCTAATGGAGCAGTCTCTGTCTAAAACACTCAGGGCAGATGGAAGAGACACATGGTGAGCCATGCACTAGCTACTCCAGCCTCTGCCCTGATATGACACATCACTCACACTCATATTTCATTGATCATTTGACCAAGATGATACCATGGGCCAGAGAATTATGTTGTGAATAGATATCTTCTTCCATCTCACAGGACTGGTAGTCCATAAAACTTTTGTAGAGTCCCTTCCTGGCTTCTCCCTACTACTGAACTGCTGTACCCACTGTACTGCTCCTTCTAGAGCGCAAAAGCCTTACTGGGTCCCCAAAAGCAGAGCCATTTCTCTGTGATTTGTGGCTGCACTCACATGACAATGCCTGGCTAAGCTTGAAAATTGCATAAACATTTATTGAAATAATGTAGAAATGATGTTGCACAACTGCCATGCTCACCATATGTATTTTTCATGGAGGGAACACTGTCAAACTGAGCCCTGTTCCTCAGTTACAATGGTTCCTCTCCTTGAGACCTTCCCACTTACACCCACTCCTGCCCATGTCCTGTGGTGGATCTGGAGGGCTCCATGTCATTCATCTCTGCCACAGGCCTATCTTGAAGTGCTAAGGACACTGTCTGCCCTAACCAAGATCAAATCACCCAGACCAGAATGTAAACCCATAAACTAAGTTCAGACAGCAACCACCACCCCTAGGCCCCATAGTAGGTCCTCAAATCTGCCTCATTTCCTCCTGTGTCTGTCTGCTTTCTGTCTCAGAGCAGCTCCTCCACCCTGGCAGAGCCCCTGAAATCAGAACCTCCCTCTTGTTCAAAGCCACCAGCACTCCAGCTGCTGCTGCTATGCACCAGATCAACATGAATTCTCAGCCACTAAGGGCTCCAGGGACTGTCACAGAGAATTCCTAAGGAGAATTATAAATACATCTTGATGTGCAGATGATGCCATACCATCTCTGCAAGTGATGCATTCTGTTTACCCTCTGCTTTCCTGTGGGATCCCTCAGAGAGAAGAGACAGAACTCTGAGAGAAAGTAAATCTTTCTCAGTTTAAGTGTACAAAGAAATGAAATACAGTCTGTTAAATTTGTGAAAGTGTGCACCATCTGGCTAAATGCAGCTTCATGCTTTCTGGCAGAAACATCTGTAGAATAGGAAGGGTGGCCTGTCATTCCCCCTCCACAAGGAAGACAGGGGGGCCCCACGTCAATGACTTTGCCAGGGCACAGGATGTCTTCAACATGGGAGGAGCGATCTGAATGTGGAGGTGCCATGCCAGGCGACTGGGTTGCGCTTGGCAGGTCAGCTGAGTGGAGGCTACTATGTGGGATAAAAAACATGAGCTGGGTGTCTGAGAGCAGCACCTGCCTCTAGCTAGCTGTGTGATTGTGCAGTCTTGATCCAGTAGTGTCCCCTTACCTATGCCTCAGTTTCTATGTTTACAAAATGCACAGGAAGCTATAAGATAAGCTCTCTCTCTCCAAACTCAACTGAAGTGGTGCAGTGTGCAGCCTGGGCTTTGGGGATAGAATGGCCTGGTGATGGGCCCACTCACTAGCTGAATGTGATCCTGGACTCACACAGCCTGGGGTTTCTTGTCTATAAACTGAAATCTTAGTAGTATTAGCCACTCGAGTAACTGGAAAGGAGCATGGAAAGTACTTACTAAATTCAATCTGGCATGTACTCGTTGTCCAATAAATAGTTTCTAATAAAATAGTAGTTAAAATTATAAAAAGGTTAAAAGCAAAGCTCTGTAAATGTAAACTACATTCATAGGATATCCCTGGCCAAGCTGAGTTACTCTATAACCAGTTTTGTCTCCCAACCTTCCTTTGACTTCTCTCCTACCACCCTCTGCTAGGCCTTGGTCTGTACCTATTATCTTTTTATCCAAACCTGTTTGGGGCCAAATTTTTGATCATTTCCTTCATACTCTAAAGTGTTACCTGCTATGTGAATTCTATAGGCACAGCCAAGTCCTTCACCAAAAGAAGGATGCTCACACGAAGGAGTTTCATGCCCTGTCAAGCTGTCCTCCGGGCACCTTGTGTGGAGTCCTGGCTGCTCCCTGATGGTACAGCAGACCTCAGCAGATGCCACGTGTAGACCTCTGTCTTGGTCTGCTAGACAATATTAACACTGCTGGCTTGAACTAGAAATCAGGAGCCCTGAACAGGAAACCTGCATCTCTATGCCCACCCCAGATTTCAGGAACCAACACACACTCTGTGTGTCCCAATCACTGGCTGTCTTCATACTGGACAAATCCTTCCATCAGACCCAATGTATTTGTGGGTGAAAGAAGTTACTGTCATAATATTATTATATAGGTGCTAGAGAAATGAACTTTTTCCATAGTACCCTGTATCTCCCATTCCCAGACCACTCACAAGTTTCTCTTTGATACCATCTCAATTAATGGCTTTACTACAAATACCTATGGAGGGCACTAACTGAGGTGGGGAAAGGGTGTTTGTCATTAAATATCTTCTGTACGTGCTTTCAAGGGTCATTTTAATTGCAGGAGATTTTTTTGTGTGGTGGCTGTCCTTGAAATTCAAACCCTAGGTGAAATGAGGCTCTGCTGTAAAGTCAAAAATTAAATGTGACAAGCAGCAGATAGTACACAAAACCATTCCTCGCATCGGAGTTTATAACTAGCTGGTAGTACCATGTCAGTAAATAGCCCCACACACCAGCCCCCAGCACACCTAAGACCCTCCAGTTCTTATTAGTTGAACATAGCAGCAAGCTCCCAGCCCTTCCTCCTCCCTGAATGGCTGAGCTGTGCCTCCATAGGGAGCTGTGCCTCTGTAGGGATCGGGATCAAGAGCTCTGCATTACAGCCTCTATAGAGAGTGACAGGGCCTGACATCCTCCAAGCAGGGCAGTCCAGGCCTCTCTGCCTAGCCAGCTACTCCCTCTCACCTCAGCCTATGGTCCAGAGAGCTGCCCCAGGATGCTCCGCCAACAGTAATCTGCCCATACACTTTCACTGTTTCAGGGTAAGTCCCTGTACCTTACCCTGGAAAATAACAGTGGTACCAGAAATAATAATAATGCTAATGATAGTTAGAGCAAACATGAGTGAACACTCACTTTGTGGCAAGCATGCTGCTGCAAGATGACATGCATTATCATTTAGTCCCCAGACACCAGGGAGAGGAAATAGAGTCACAAGTGTTACAAAGCTAGCAAGTCATGCTACCGGGTGTCAAACTCAAGTGTTGCTGACTTCAGAACCCATATTATCCACACAGTACCATTTGGCCTCAGCATATGGTTATAAAACAGTGTGATTACAAAGTGGCTCACACTCTTTCCTGTGGGATAAAGATCTAGAACTTTCCCCCATTCACAGTCCTGATAACAGCAGCTCAACATGTTGGCTCTGAGTTTCTGCAGATCAAGGATTGTGTCTGATTTCGCTTCATGTGACCAGCACCTAGCAGGGGTTTTGGCACATGCTTAGTGCTCAATAAAAGCTTGAAAGGTTAATGAATGGGTAAGTACATGAACGAATCCACCCAGCTCATCAAACTCCAGGAACTTTCTAATAAAAGTCTCCAGGGTTCTACTAACCCTCTAAACTCATCCAACACTTTTTCCGTATATAATAGTTGGTCACACCCCAACTTGCCACATGCATCATTTTTATTTGTAAGTTAGAAGCAATTCAGAGTGGAATGGTGTGTGGCACCTCTTTTCCCAATTACTTAGACTAGAGGAATGAGCCTTTGTGCTTTCTGTTCCTGCCCCCTATAGGAGCCTCCTCTGGCATCATCGACCTCTTGCCATCTCCCAGCACTGCCACCAACTGGACTTCAGGACTGCTGGTGGACAGCAGTGAGATGATCTTTAAGTTTGATGGCAGACAGGGTGCCAAGATTCCAGATGGAATTGTGCCTAAGAACCTGACGGACCAGTTCACCATCACCATGTGGATGAAACATGGCCCCAGCCCCGGTGTGAGGGCTGAGAAGGAAACCATCCTCTGCAACTCAGATAAAACTGGTGAGTCTCTAGCACAGCCCAACTGTTCACATGGAGGAGGGGTGAGGGAAATGGGAATGTGTGGAGGGGGGAATATATTCTGGTCTCTGGTTTTCTGACTTCTGATTTGCTGGGTTTGTGGTAAAAAGGAGCAAGAAAGAGGGGAAATACAGATACAGATGCAGTGAGTGCAAGAGCAGGAATCAGGGTCTTCAAACTGGGCTTCTCAGAAAGGCAGCATCCCTAGAAGTACCTCAGGGCTACTATAGATGAGCCAGGGGTGGAGGAGAAATTTTCACCTGTACTTCAACAAAGAAACTCCACCTTTAATATATAATTAAAGATTTCCAAAAGACTTCTTTTAAATAAGAGTCCTGCTAACTTAGAGTCATAATACGAAAATCACCACCATATGTCTTAGGAACAGCTAATAGTTCTTTGGCATTGTCAGTGTGCTAATTCTGGGTCAGGCAGTTCTCAGGTTTATGGTTAAAAGTGCTCCACCACCTATTAACTATGTGACCTTTGGCAAGTTGTTTAACCTCTCTGTGTTTCACTTTCCCAGTCTATAAAATGGGTATTATAGTATTATCTTCCTCATAGGGTTTTTATGAGGATTAAATGACTTAATATACATGAAGTGCTTGGAACAGTGCCTGGCACATTGAACATGTGATTGATGTTAGCTATTACTATTCTAAACAGTTTCTCATGCCTTTACCATTTTATACAAGTATTATTGGGTTTCTCATCTTAAGGATATGAAAACATCCTTAAGAGGTTAAGTAATATGTCCCAAATACTCATACATGCAGTAGGGATCAGAACTGGAATGTCAGCTTAGCTCAAGCCCTGTGTTCTTATCACTACACCCCCACATCACACACATGCAAATATTCTGAGATCATATGGAAAATTGCAACTCTATCTTTAATTATAATTTCAGTTTCCCATTTCAAATACAACTTTTGTTAAAATACCTACAATAAATAATAACCACTTATTCTTAACAGCTGATGATATGGAAGGATGCCTAAGAGCTCAGCCTCTGCTCTCAGACAGCCGAAGTTCCCAGCTCAGCTAGACCACCCCATAAGGTGTAGCCTTGGAGGAACTGCTAATCTCCTTGAGCCTCAGTTTCTCCATGTGTAAAACAAGGACAATAAACATGAAATAAAGTATAAAATCACTTAGAAGTGCCAGATCTTAGCACTCTATTAATTTACCTGATGTTGACAGTACCATTATTATTATTATTATTATTATTACTAATTCTAGTATTATTCTACTTTATGGTGCTACAAGAGCCTCCAAGTTATCTACTTCAATTGAGCTTTACAATAAACAATGTATTTTCTGGAAGACAAACTGAGATACAGTTACCTAGCTTTCCCCTAGTCACAAGTCTGTGTAGGAGGAGTTGGTGCCAACAACAGTTTTTCTCTGGGACCTTCATAGATTTCCTGAGGTGGCACAGAGGTTTGGGTCCAGTCTTTATACTGTGGCCCTGGCAGCACTTGTGGTACAGGCGCAAAATGGTTCTAGAGCCAAAGTCATGATGAAGCAACAGCTTAGCACTGTGTAGACAAACGTGAAGCTGTGGTCGGTGGCCACACACACAGTCCTTTCTGAGATGTATCAAGTAGCCCTAGCAGGCACAGCAGACAGATATAAATGTTCCTTCTTATAGAGGAACGTGGATGGTCGAATAATGGCCCCAGGATAACATAGCCGGTTACCAAAAACAGCAGGCTTGGACCTAGGACTGCTTATCAGGGCAGGCGGCGAAACCACTGAGCTAAATCCCCGGCTAGGACTGCTTATCAGAAGCTCCAGGGCCAGACTATTGTCTCAAAGGTCTGGTTAGAATAAACGAATGCATTTGTAAGACTATGTAGATGCCAGGACCCCACCCTAGTTCCATAAATCCAAAACTCAGGGGGGTGCTACAGGCAACCACAGCTGAACACTGTGCTTCAGACAGCAATGCCTCCTGTCATCACTGCAGCCCAGCTACAGGCACTGAGTGCTCCCACCCAGCAAGACCTGGGGCTCTGCAGCTCAGGCCTTATAGAAAATCACACTTACCTCAAGACTGGGACAGAGAGGTGGAAAGATTTTTTTAAACTTCTCTGGCTTTAAAAAATGTCTATAACTATATCCTTATCCTAAATAAAAATTTTAAAATTGGGAATAAACTGAAGACTTATTAGGATTTGTTTTATATCATAAATGTTTTCCAGTTGTAAAGGCAACACATCTTTATATGAGGTGTACAAAAAAACACAGAACTGTATAAAAATACAAAAGACACCTAAAATCTGAATGCTTGAGATCTCATTTGATAACAGTGTGTTTCATTAAAATATTATTTTATTTCTACATATAGTGGAATATTCTCACAATTTGAATCTATTTTTATAATACACGTGACACTATTATCTGCTTTCTTTATATAACTATCCAGATCATTTCTATATGTGATAAGATATTCTTGAAAATGTGAATTGTATGGCAGTTTAAAGCTCTGCCATGTGGACCTATAATATTCCATTTAACTTGCTACTTTTTGTGGGATATTTAAATTGTCTCCTTTTAAATGCAAATGAAAAAATGCTGTAGTGAGTATTCTGATATATAATTTTTGGATATTTCTGATTGTTTTCCGACTGGAAGTTGAATTATTAAATCAAAGAATATAAATAGTAAGAAAGCTATTAAGGTAAAATGTTGAATTTTTCCTTCATGAAAATCGCATTAATTTCTCTTCGTTACAAATAAAACTCATTAATTCTTGTCCATTACAAAGTAATTTATAAATAGTTGGATAACAGAATTGACTAGTCAGCAATGGCTGATTGCAACAGAGAGAAAGAGAAAGAGAAAGCCACTCTCCTTGCTACCAAAAAACTAAAGTCTCAGTGGCTGACACTCTCTCATCAAAGTGTCCCCTCATGCATCATTGCCCAGTGGCCCTGAGTCTGCAGGGTGGGGAAGCTCTGCTTTGCCCAGGCATTCTGAGACCAAGAACCTTTGCAGCCTTTGTGACTGCTGTTCTCAGCCACTGAAGAGAAGGTTAGAATACATTTGAGTGCAGAAAGCTTTTATTGATCAGAACAGTAGGCGACATGTTTTATATCTAATCACCTTCCACTTGCCAAAGCTTGGTCACATCACCCCCAATAACCATGGGAGGCTGTGAAATGCATTTAGCTATGTGTCTGGGAACAAAGGGAACATGCTAAGGGAACACATAGCGGTGTCTCTGCCATGTGGGACACTTGCGCCTACTCCAACCCAACTTTCGTTAGCCCTTACCTTTCCACTCCCTGTGCGAACAATGCTTCTTCCTGTTGTCTTTCCTGATCCCTCCTCAGTTTCCACCCTATCTCCATAATCCTCCTGCCCACACATCTGTTCCTGATACTTGAGTCTTCTGCTCCTGGCAGGCAGCCTTCTCTTGCTCCCTCTGAGTTCAGTGGAAAAACAATGAATGATAAGTGGCTACACACAGAGCTAGCTACCTCCCTATTGGGCTTTCCAAGAGAGAGGACCAACCTGATCCAGTGAGTACCAGGTAGAATGGCAGAGGTTTCAGTCTGGTGGAAAGTGCTAGGATGATTGCTGTGTCTGCTGGGAAAGAAAAGGGTGCGCCTATACCCTGGAAGTGGCAGAAAACCACTCGGAAGGATTGATATTGTTATAGAGAAAGGGTGTGAACCTCACTCTCACTGCCTATTAGCTGAGCTCCAGATGCTTCTTGGTGTGTACGTTGACTCTAGGAATCCAGAGCAACAAAAAGGCAGAGAGAGGGAGAAATCTCCTAGGCTAGAAGATGCTTTGGCAGAGGGCAATCTATTTTTTCGTTCTTCCTGGTCCACCTCCTCACCTCTAACCTCTCCTGAATGCATGTAAAACTAATAAAGGCAAAAATTCTTTCTTTCTGTATTTTCTTTACAGTTATTAACAGAAATTACAGAAAATCAGATAAACAATTACGAGAGAGATAAGAAATTTTTGATAGACTCCTCATAACCAGGTCAGAGTGTTTTGCCTAGCCACAGGCTAAGAGTGCTCACTCAGACAGTGGCCCAGGCCAGTCTTGCCATGCTTGGCAACTGACCATCCCCTTTCCTGCCTCTCTTGGGTTACATTTTGGAGGACTGTAATGCATACATGAACACAGCATCTGACACTGCTTTGCCATGTTGCCGTGGTCATGAGGCAGAGGGATGGTCTTTATAACACTAACAGTCATTGAGCATCTGTTCTGGGCATATGCTTTACCCGCATTTCCTCATTGTATCAATTAAGATGCTTTCCATTACAGGGAATGGGAAGTCCAAATTAAACTGATATTGGAAAACTGAAAAAGCAAAAGAATTCAGGGAATGTAGGGTTCTTGTAGATGAACACATCCAGAGCTATCATGGTTTCAAAAAGTCATCCTAAAGTTAAGGTGTGGTAAAGGCCCTGGCTCCTTTTCTGTGCCCTTTCTCAGATTTGTGCCCACATGTGTATCAATTTTAGGTTGACAAATATGGCTGTAGCCACTCCAAATCTCTCAGTTACACACCACAACTTATACAATATATATACTAAAACTTATACATTGATATGTACACAACATATGCATATAACCTATATATACTTATGCACATAAAATACAGCATATACTTACAACTCATGTAACATAGGTAAGGTTTAGAGAGGATATATGGGAAATGATCACAATATCCTATTCTTAGGCTACATTAGGATAGCCCAGCATCACTGTCATGATGCATTTAAGGAAACCAAGGCTCTGAGAGGGCAAATAACTTTCCCAACATCACTCAATGATACAGCTTCATCCAAAGTCTGTCTGAATCTAGTCCTTCCTGGTATATTTTCCTGTGCACTACAACATAATAACATATGAGTTCTCTAAGTATTGGTCAAAGAACAGCTCCTCTTCTGCCTGTTGGTGGCATCATAGCTATAGCCATGACATAAGATTTCTTAGGCAGGAAAGAAAGTTTTTATGTCAGAGGAGAAAATGTCCCCTTCATTGATTGCTGGGCATGGGGAGAAGATGTTTGTTCATTTCTTTGGAGAGTTAGAAAATTATGTCTACTGCTGAAAAATCAATCTATCTCGTCTTCCCTGCAGCTAAAAGCAAGACAGTTCCTCTTAACACAGGTTAGGTAGACAAAGGCCCAGGTACTCTGTGATCACTGTTGTCAGCCCGATGAAATAAAACAAAACCTCAGAACTCTAACAGGAACCAGCTATGCTACAGGAGTCCAGATCAGCTGACGGCAACGGCAGAGAGCACACTCAAGCCTCTTGGAAATGTTTGTCACCACAAAAAAAGCTTGTCAACCTGAATAACTTTACCCTGGGTCTGATGCAGGACCTGAATAGAAGGTCAATGTTAAAGCCCAGGTGGCTTCTCAGCAGCAGTTTTGCTGTGGGCTCTCCTGAGTCCTCTTCTTCCATTTCAGTGAACCCCATGAGGTGTGTTCCAGAGCATTCATCAGACCACTTGTGAAGGAGAAAACCAGAGTGCCTGTTTCTTTATCCTTTGAGATGTGCTAGGCAAGATAGCAGGAAGACCTCTGGCAGAGACTGACAGGGATTTTCTCACTCCCCAAGTCCTTCCTCTTTGCCTTTCAGAAATGAACCGGCACCACTATGCCCTATATGTGCACAACTGCCGCCTCGTCTTCCTCTTGAGGAAGGACTTTGACCAGGCCGACACCTTTCGCCCTGCAGAGTTCCACTGGAAGCTGGACCAGGTGAGGCTCTTGGTGCACCTCCCGCACTCACAGCTCTGCAGGGGGCTGGCATGTTCCTGCAGGGACGGGGCCGGTAGGCACTTCGAGTTCTGATCACTCATTGAGTTTTGGAAAAATCCTCTCAGAAGGGTACACAGTCTCTTAAAGTCAGGATGGAACCGACTTCCTTAAAGTCAGTTGGTGGGAGGAGGTCCACATTTGCCAACCAAGACTGGCAGGGTCATTGGACCTGCCCATGTGCATCTCGTCTGTTTTGCTCAGTGTGGAGCTCATGAGAAGCTGCTTTTCCTGGTCCCCAGGCCCCTCCATGATCTTTGTGAGCACTTCAAGGACCTGTGTACTTTGAAGTCAGTGACAGAGCACCATGAGCAATGAGTGTTCTTTTCTGAAGTGCAAAATCAGATCATCTCCAGAGCCTCATGACTTTTGATCAAAGGGGCCACTGCATCACACTTGTCAATGACACATGAAGTGTGTGGTTTAAATCCAGAGTCCTAAAGGGTGTGTTTCTGAGGACTGTTCAATCCTAAGGCTGTGGAGGGAGCTCTCACTTCTCTGGGTGGCTGTGCCACTGCAGAAGAGTCTATGCAGCAAACCTAGAGTCGGTCTTCACTTAGATTTTCAAGGGGCCAGATTCATTTCTTTAAAAATGGTTTTAAAATATCAAAAGAGAGAGAGTCCAGCAGCCAATAGTAGGAGTGTAGAATGAATGCTGCTTAAGCAAACAGATGAAATAATACTCATTTTATGACCCTTCCTTACTGTCTGGGGACCCCAGAACCTTGTTTGGCTTTTATTCTGTCTCACCCATATCCTGAACTGGGTATTTCTGGGGTTGTCAGTCTGCTTTTCTTCCTTAAAGCCCATCATGTGCACTATCTGAGACATCTTGACTGGGGCTGAATGTTTCTTTATCCTGTCCTTTCTGTCTTCTTGTTTCTCCATCTCTAACCCATCCTCTTCCTAAATCCCCAGCCCTCCAGTGGGATGGGTCTCAGAATTAATTCACACTGAGTTTCAGTGAGTGCTTTCATCCTCATAGAAGTAGAAATGTACACTCTTTAAAGCAAGATTCAGTGACCCTGGCGAGTCCTCACCAGTGGAACTCCAGGCAGCGTAACAGGATCAAGGATGCCAAGCTCAGGAGATGTTTGAGGGACATTGCCGAGCCCACTCCCATAAATCCTCTCCTGCTGGATCCCAGAATTCTGAAAAGATGGCATCTGCATTTGTCTGTGTTCCTCTAAGTTAAGAATTCTAGTTCTCGCAGTAATGGTAAAATCTTGACATTGTTTATATGATTTCTCAGCAACCTCACAGCTATGTCCTAAAGGGCCAGATGGCTTTTATGAGATGTTTTAAAATAAATAATACAAAGTGAAGTGAACTAAAATAAATTCCATATCATGAGGGCTATTTTAATATGAACATTGCCATATTGGTGAAGATAATTATAGATACCCTGCAGCGTTTTTTGAGATGGGATTGAGAAGCACAGAGATAGAAAAATGAAGTCACAGAGTTTGAAATTAAAAATAGACAATGAATTCTGGTTGTACATATAAATACATAGTAAATCTAGCAAATCTGAGATTTGCTCCTAAACTAGTGAGTTTAAGGAGGGGCTGAAATTCACTGAACATCTCCCAGACTATTCTGGTCTCATTGACATTCACTTACCAGAGAGTGGCTGTTCTGTGCTAGGAACACTGTATGTGTGAGGCCAACCTCAGCTCTGCTGCAGGCCTTCCCAATGGGCATTGTGAGGCAAGAGACTCAGGCCCAGTGACTTTCCCAGGGTCACACGGCAAAACACAACCAGCACCTGGCCTTTCCATTATGCTATCCTGTTTCTGTGGTGAGCACGTGCTAATTTAAAACTTAAACATTTTTAAAGTTAAAATTTGTAGACCATAATTGTCAGTGAAATACAAAATATTTGTAGTTTTGAGGAAACTGTGAAATTGTCAAATCTTCATTTTGCTAAAGGTCTGTCTTCAACTCTGCCTTAGCACAGGAGGCCATAACAAAATGCTTCAGGCTGAGTGGCTTAAACAAAAGAAATTTATTTCTGCACAATGAAGGAGGCTGGGAAATCCAAGATCAAGGTACCTACAAACTCATTTCCTGGTGAGGGCTCTTTTCCTGACTTTTGGAGGACCTCCTTAGCACTGTGTCCTCACAAGACAGAGACAGATGGTGGGGGCGCTCTGGTATTTGGTCTTCTTCTTACAAGGAATCAGGGCTGTCAAACCAAAACCCTACTTTATGATCTCATTTAACCTCAACTGCCTCCTAAAAGCCCTATCTCCAAATGTATTGGTGGTTACTGTTTCAAGGTGAGTTTTGGGAGCACACAATTTAGTTCATAGCATGTCTGAATAAATTAATATTTTTAATAAAGACTATCTTTGGAGGTTAATAGCTCAGTGGCAGAGCACTTCCCTCCTATGCACAAGGCCCTAGGTTCAATCCTTAGCATGATGAAAGGAAGGAAGGAGAGAGGGAGGGAAAGGAAGTAAAAGGAAAGGAAAGAAGAGAAGAGAAGAGAAGAGAAGAGAAGAGAAGAGAAGAGAAGAGAAGAGAAGAGAAGAGAAGAGAGAAGGGAAGGGAAGGGAAGGGAAGGGAAGGGAAGGGAAGGGAAGAGAAGAGAAGAGAAGAGAAAAGGAGCCTGTTGATGATCAGAAGCCCCAGCCCACCCAGAGAGTTTCCATCCCTCTGAAGAAAGCCATAATGAGTAGGGTATAGGAGCATAGGGTAGAGACTTCCATACTGCACGTGCTAGAAATTCAGTAGTCTGAATTGATCTTTCTCTTTACCCAACTCCCTGAGTGGTCAGAATCTTACCAGAAGTTTTTTGGATATAAATCACTTGTTACTTACAATATACATACCTGGTGAAGCCTCCTCCTGGGGAAAACATCCTGGCTACCCTTCAGGGGGTTTTCCTTTCCCTCCACTCATCAGACTCCATGTAGAACTCCATCCCAGTACTTACTGTAGTATAGTTACTCACCTGTCTGCTTGCTTTGAACTGAACCCTAGAGGGCAAGACTGTGTTTTGCTCATGTCCAACTGTTAAGTGTATGTTGTAGCCATGAGCATGTACTTGATGCTTAGTAAATGTTTGTCTAACAGTGAATGAACCTTGAGATCAAAAGAAAAGAGAGATAAAGTGAGGCAGGGAAGGAGGGAAGTAGATAAGTGTATTAGTTAGCTTTCCTATTGCTAGGGAAAAAATACCCAGTATCCATAATTTAAAGGCTTACATTTTCAGGGGATTCAGTCCATGGCCAGCTATCTCCAAGGCAGAAGTATCATGGTGGAAAGGCATGGCAGAGCAGAGAGGCCTAGTTCGTGGTGGTCAGAAAGCAGAGCAGAGGAACAGTACCAATGACAGACAGGAAAAGGCAGGTGGCCAGACATAGACCTATGACCCACCCAGACACACTCAGAAGTGTGTTCCACCAGTTCTCTGAGCAGCTCCCAAGGCAATCAAGTTAGCAATCCACCTTAACCACTACAAGAGAGAAAGAGAAAAAAATCTAAAGATCTTTAAAACATCATGGTACCCAATTAATCTTTCTTTTCTTTTTCTTTTTTAGTGCACATTTGTCATACAAAATAGTAATGCTAGATTGGGGAAATTGGTACATTAGTAAATGCATATGACGTATCTTGATATTTATTTTTGTTTTGTTTTTTGGGGTACTGAAGACTAAACCCAGGGCCTTCACATTGAGGAACGTATCTCCATCTCTTTCCAGGAAAATTTTTGAGACAGTTTTGCTAAGTTGCAAAGTTGCTCATTCTAGGCTCAAACTTATTATTCTTGTGACTCAGCCTTGTAGAGTTCTGGGATTGTAGGCATTTATGCTATGTTTGGCTCTTGGTAATTTTAATCCCTTTTATTCCCCCTCCCTTGGTCTCCTTACCCATTTCCAAGAGTCTACCTTCTGGTTTCCTGCCTGTCTATTTTAGATTCAATTGATGGAGCATTTTAAAACTTTACCATGTTTACTTTCTATCTCTCAAATACTGTTTATCTTTGATCTTGATATCTTATTTCAAAGACTGAGCTGGATTTATTGTAGAGAATCTAGAACAGGCCTTGGCCAAAAAGGACTCAGCTGATCTAATAAATTGTGGTATTTAAACTCCTGGATCACTTAGAAATTCTAGAAGCATCGTATCTCTTTTAATGCCTGATGGCACTCATTTATTTTTGAACTCAGCGGCTTATTCTGGACATAAACTATATGTGAGGTCCTGGGCTGGGTACCTGGAATCAGCAGATGAAATAGGAGCCTCTAGACTCTAGAAGTATCTACGGGTCAAGCAAGCACAAACACAAACAGTTTACAGTCTCTGCAATAGCTTCTGGGGCAGAAGGCAGGGACCAGATATAGGAAACTGTGAAGAGACACCTGATGGAGACCTAGGATTAAGAGCATGAGAAACCTAAGGAGGGACATCTCAGTGAAGTGTAGAACTTCCCAGTGCAGGACCAGGCATCCAAGAGGGCAGACAGTGAGCAGACCAGGTACAGACATGGGGTGGAAGAAAAAGACTTTGAAAGTGTTGGAACCTAAGAGTGGGGGAAAGGGTGAGAATTAAATCAAAGGTAACTTTTTACATTATTGAGTTGAATCATTATCTCCAAAGAAATGAGCCACAGTTAAAGCATCTGTTATTCAATAGGAGACTGTGACTGTTCAAGATGAGCAAATGTGAAGAACGCTAGTATGACATTTATCACACTTACCAAGTTTAGACAAATACAACTCAATCCAGGCCATTCATTGGGGCCAGTGGCAGGGGTTGTAGAAACACTCTCCCACTTCCTGTTCCTGTATCCATACCAGGGAACCCAGCACTAGACAGGTGTTTGAAGAGTTAGCTCCTCAAGGCCTTGAAACCAAGACGTAGGATATGCTATGGTTTCCACACAACTTACCTGCAGTGGTCCAGTGAGTGAGGCAGTTGCCCCAGAGACACTG